CATCCAAATAGCATCACAAACTACAACAAAGTAAGCATACGCTTCACTATCGATATTGACGAGTTTTACAAAAACCAGCARYGTGAYGATATTTGGCGCGTARCACAAAATATACGCGCCCATTACATACTTCATGGTGTTTACGGACTTYTTGTATYTTGGCAAGTTAAAATKGAGCCTTGCAGTCTCTTGYTGMGCTTGGATTTGAGCGGAGTGACGSCGGATGGCTAGAGATATTCTCACAAAGAAATACAAAGTCAAGATAATCAAGAAAATAAAGAGGCAAAAATAAACGACTTTAAAAGTAAAATTCATTATAAATATTGATCCAATCCCAGATACGAGACAAAATATGTAGATTATAGCGACAAGAATTGCGTAGCGTGTCATTGTGGCCACTTCTTGGTATCGTAGGTGAAGATGAATTGCAAGGAAGCGRTCGGCTGCAATACATGTAAGCAGGAAAAACGAAGTAGAAGAGACTAACACAATTGTGAAGTAATAGACCAGCCCATAGGAGCAAAATCTGTCTAGTGTGCCTCGAAGTTCAGCCATCTTAAGAACACAATAAGAWGGTTGCCCAATGGCAGCRACACCAAAATCAGCGACAGCCAAGCCTATTAYCAGGATATATGACGGTGTACGGAGACTTGGAGTTCGAAGTAACGTGATAATGACGAGTAAGTTGCTTARGGACGATAKCAGTGCAACTATGGAGTTTAAGACAACGAAAAAAATRACAAAAACKTCATTRAGCTGTYTCGTTTGACCGTTAAAATATTGTATTAACAAGCAGCTTGAGGACAAAGTTCTTTGCGTTGTGTTCTCAGCCATCAGTAGTTTCTTTAATCTGTTCTTCTTGTGTTTGCATTGGACTGTGATGTGTCACTTTCAATTCAGAACCTCTTAGTACAGCCGTGTAAATCGAACAGTAGCTGAWAAAGAACGTGCTGAGGATATATGCCTTTATCCGGATATATAATCAATGAAAAAAAACCGTTATTCGCAGCTGTCTAAATATTATTCACACTAAAATGAATATCGTAAATATGTTATCAGGACTCTTGCGAAAACACATTAAAAATGCATGAGATTTTCGACCTTGYGGGATATTCCACTTTGGTTAAAATCGTGTAGCCTTTAAATTGTGTTTCAGAAAACAAAAAACTACAGGTTCTGTGAGCTGGAA